TTTGATGTGTCGCGCTTTGAGGCCGGCGGCGAGTCTGAGGCCGCTGAGAAGGGTCTCATACTCGGCTTCATTGTTGGATACCCTGAAGTTGAAGCTGATGGCATAATAAGCTCTTAATCCTTCAGGGGAGATGAGGACGACACCACCCCCACATGCTTTAGCCGTTGATGAACCATCGGTGAAGAGGGTCGATGTCTCGTCTTGCTCTGGCCCGGGTATGGTAGCGGCCGTCTCCCTTGCCGTGCACTCGGTGACAAAGTCGGCCAAGGCTTGCCCCTTGATAGATGGTCTTGGCTTGAAGATTGCCCACTTCACCATCCTGGAGGAGCTAGTGGGGCTCCGCATGAGTGCGTCGGGGGGCTGCTGGGTCAAGACCTGGACGGCATGGGCCTGGAAGTAATGTCCTAGCTTCTTCACTGTGTGGACGATGGCTAGCACCGTTTTCTCAACGGGGGAGTACCTGAGCTCGGCCTCCCGGAGCATCTTGCTGACATAGAAAATGGCCCTCTGCACCCCTTCGTCCTCACGGATGAGCACGAAGCTGATGGCCGACGGGCTCACCCCCAAATACAAAAAGAGGGTCTCACCAGCCTTAGGTTTGGAAAGCACGGGAGGGGACGAAAGGTACCGCTTCAGTTACTCGAATGCTTGCTGGCACTCCGTCGTCCATCTGAAACTGTTGGCTTTGCGCATGATTTGAAAGAAAGGGAGAGACCTTTCAGCCGATTTGGAGAGGAAACGGTTAAGGGCCGCAAGGCGTCCCGTCAGTTGTTGCACTTCCTTGACATTGTGTGGTGGCTCCATGTTCACAATGACCTGGATCTTCTCCGGATTTATTTCGATGCCCCTTCGGCTGACCATGTAGCCGAGGAACTTGCCCCCCTGGACGTTGAAGGTGCATTTCTTCGGGTTCAAGCGGAGTTGGAACTTCTTCATGATTTCAAAAATTTCCCTGAGGTCGTCAGCATGAGTGGTAGATTGCTTGTTCTTGACGATCATATTCTTAGTTTAAAAAAAGCGCGCCTGAGGCGAACACTTTATCGCATCTTCAACCCCCAGGCGGCGTAGGTTCCAAGAGGCGCGCCTTATACGACGCTTTTTGACGCCTTTTGCGCCTCTGAGAGGCGCGCGCTTCTCACGCCTCATGGATGTCTCTCTAGTCTTCTTCCTTATTCCTTCTTCTCCCTTCTTCCTTCTGCGTTTGCTTTGCTTCTGAGTTCCCACATCTGCTGTCCCGTTTCTTCCGCTACTTTCTTCCGCTACTTTCTCGCGTCGCAGGACTCGCAGAGTAGTCGCAGGTAGGTATTAATTTCTTCTCTTCTACAGTTTCTTTTATACGTATATAGTTTATTAATTAAGTTTAAGTATGTATTATATTATATTTTATTACCTTGAAATTGTAGTGTTACTACCTCTGTTGGTCTGTTCTAGATCATGTTGAGTACCAAATATTTGATTTTGTTTAACATTTTTTATATAACATCTTATTAATTTTGTTTTGAAATTTTAAAATTGAGTTTTGTGACTTGACTTTTGCAATGATGCCGTTTGATATTTATTTCTTGCTACTGTCTTAATAAATATTTGGTTTCTCTTATGATGTATGTTAAGATTATTTAATAGTTTGAAGTATTTTTGTGATCTTATCATTTTTTGAGATGAGTGCTTCATGTAGAAGACTAGAAATAGTATAAATATATCTTACCAAAGATATGATGTTAAGAACCGTGAGGCGCGCGCCTTGTCGCCTTGCGCCTCGCGCCTCGGTAAATCAATGAAAACGCCTTGCGTCGCCTCACGCCTTTTAAAACTAAGATCATATTGTCGACGTATGCCTCCATCGTCTGACCGAGGACTGCTCTGAAGATTTTGGCTACCATCCTGGTGTATGTGGCACCTGAATTTTTGAACCCAAAGGCCATGACGAGGTAGCAGAAAATTCCCTCCGGGGTCATGAAGGCCGTCTTCTCGGCGTCATCTTCATGCATGAAGATCTGGTGGTATCCTCTGAAGGCGTCCAAGAACGACATCAACTCGCAGCCCTCCGTCTCGTCCACCAACTGATCTATGTTGGGGAGAGAGAACGGGTCCATGGGGCACGCCTTGTTCAGGTCAGTGTAGTCAACGCACATCCTGAATGTCGGCGGCTTCTGGGCGAGGACGACGTTGGCCAGCCAAGTCAGGTACTTCACCTCCTTGATGTGGTTGATTGAGAGGAGCATGGTGACCTTCCCCTTGACAAAGTCTCATCTGTCGGCCGAAAGGTAGCGCCGCTTCTGCTTGACTAGCGTGGAGGCGGGATCGGTTGACAACCGGTGAGTGATCACCTTCCGTCTGATGCCAGGCATGTCGTCCGCCCCCCACGCAACGATGATTGCATATGACCGCAGGACTCTGAGGATGTCGTCGCGTTGGTCCTGTGGGAGTCGTCTCCCAATTTTCAGGATTCGTTCCGGCCGAGAGGTGTCCAAAGGGACCTCCTCAACCTCTTCGACTGGCTCAGCATGTGGTCTCTCTTCGTCCTTGGCGACGGTGGCGGTGATAGTGTCTATTCTTTGCTCGGTGCCTGCGGCCGGCTTCGTCAGCTTGAGGTAGCATGCTCTGGTTATCCTCTGGTTCCCCCTGGCGTAGCCGATACCGCCGTTGGTAGGGAACTTCAAGCACAAGTGCTCATGGAGATGATGGCCTCCAGGTCCTCTAGCGTTGGCCGCCCCCATTGTGGGCGCACTCGAGGTTGACCACCATGAACTCCATATCGATCTTGGTGCGATTGGAGCCGTCGCCGACTTCCACGGGGAGGACTATCGTGCCCTCGGCGTTGATAGAGTCCTCGGTGAAGCCGGTCAACGGTGTCCGGATCGGCTTGAGCAGGGCCTTGTTCAGCTTCAGCTGCTTGAAGGTGTCAAGGTACATGACATTGACAGAGCTCACCGTATCGATGTAAGTGCGGTGGATGATAGAGTTGCCTATCTCACATCGGATGATGAGGGCGTCCCTGTGTGATGCGGGGCCTGGAGGCAGATCCTTGTCGGTGAAGGTGATCGCCTCCGTCTGCTGCTTCTTCGGCTGGGGGGAGCGTGAGACACCTCCCCAATGTAAAGGGATTGGGCCCATTTCTTCCTCTGGGTGGCCGAGTCCCCCAGTGTTGCCCCCCACAATGAGGTGGATGTGGTTCTTCTTCGGAGGGAGCTCCTCGAAGTCTTCGTCGTTGTCGCTGAGTCTGCCGATCTCGCGCTTCTTCGTAGAGGGTTCGTCCCCATTTTGCCGGTGTTTACCCACGTATTTTTGCGTGGGCCACCTTTTACAAATTGGGAGAGTTCCCCCTGGTGAATTAGCTTCTCGATGGCTCTCTTCAGCATGACGCAATCGTTGATATTTTGAGTTGATATTTTTCTGGCCGATGGAGGGTCATCTGGCCGACGGAGGCCCCACAAAGTGACAGCTATGTGAATCCTGGGGTCTAGACCCATATACTCCATCACCGGTTTTATGTATACAACAACATCCAAGCCTAAATCCGAAAAGACTTTGGGGCTGGTTTTATGTATACTGCTAAAAATTAACTTTGCAAAGAAGGTAGGCTCCCTCCCTCTAGCTGGAGACTGAGGCTTAGCGCCTAGATGAGAATTAATTTGGTGGTAGGCAGAATCTAGGTTTAACTATAGAAGGCTATAATATACATCAACAGCTGATGGGAACTTAGCACCTAGTCGGGGGGGTTTAACTGCGCTAGGTGGGATGTTCAAATACAAAGTAGTCCTTATATGAAAAATGAGAAGGAATCTTAGCCGTTAAAATGAAAAAATAAGTGGATGAGATTAATTTTAAAGTGAAAAACGCGGTGACAAATGTGTAAATATTAGGAACTCTTGAAAAATAAAATAATAAATGTGCACGACTATGGAGAACAAGTGCATATAACTAAAACAAAAGTGCATCACGCTTCGAAATAAAATAAGAAGTATAAAAATCGAGTTGTAACTTCTTTAATGAGGTAAATGTGCACTTTTACATATCTTATATGCACGTTTACTATTAGGTATTGCAAATTTTGGTTTAGTATTTCCCAGCACGATTTTTGATCTGTTCCGTCCATTTTTAAGTGATCAAAAGCTTAGATCACTTCTTACTTTTCATGGGAACACCCCTTTGTATTAGAACTCACCCCTATATGTATTTATGAGTTTACAGTCTATGTGTAACGCTAGGTATTCCCCTTCAAGTACAATTTCCAACTAAGTTGCTTGATCGTTTGGGCGACCCAAATTATTTGACTCAATCTCAGCCTATGTTCAGACATCGCACGCGAACAGAAGCTCTTCACAAGTCTGAAAACTCCACGGCTTTGGTTGCTGAGATTGCCAATTTGGAGGCCACTAAAGACGATTTTACTCCAGTTGTCTCCCGGCGTAATAAGAAGAAAGTTGTTTCACAAGTTTCTTCTATGCAGACTAGGTCGCAGACGCGCTTAAAGTCATAATCTTTAGCCTAGTTTGCCTTGCTTTCCATTTATTTATTTTTCTTTATCCTCTAGCGCTTTATTTATATCTAATAAAATTTGGTAAGCGTTCCCCGGCATTTAACCCACTTTTAGTGGTTTACCCTCCGGGAATTAAAAAAAAAAGTGTAACGCTAGGTACTCGATATGATTCAATATTTAGTACGGATTGATCCATGTGCACGTTGACCGAGTTGAGCGACTTCAGCCAAATTAAGAATCCTGTCAATCGTAGTATTAAAACTAGTCTGGTCCACTCTGTTCGCTCGGGCAAGTGGTCTTGTGTTTTGGGGTTGCAAGAAGAGACCAAACTTGTTTGTCTGGGCTTGTGGACCATGTTTTGGTGTCACAACCATTTGAGGGGACTGGGGAGACTAAGCCCCATAGCATTTCAATATTTAAGAGACTCTTTTAGTAAGCAATGCTCAAACACATCTTTCTACATGCTTGTCTATTGAATTTAGTTAGTTATATTTGATGTGAGGATTATACTCTTGAGCAGGAAATCACTTATTAAGGTCATGCTAAGAAAGAATCCCGAGCATCGGCCAAGCGTAAGACCTTCTGGAAGCAGATTCTAGAAGCTTATTTTTCTTTCCTCCTTTTGGGCCTTTGTCGTTTTAATTACTTTATTCTGTTTTAATTTTTTCAGGCATCAGACCTCCTGAAACACCCATTTTTGCAGCCCTATGTTGCACTATATCGCACAGCCTTTCATTGTCCCCCGCCAAGAAAACCCTTGAGCACTGCGAATGACAGTAGTCATCAAAAGAACACAATGGTTGAAAGTGGTAGAGATATTTTCAATTGTGACAGTAACAAGGGGGCTTTTGACACTAGTTTGGCCTTTCCTGATGACAAAAGTGGGACCCACAGTGCTGAAGAAGTACCCAAAACAGAGGATACCTGTAGCGAAAAAAATGAGGATCAAGATGCAGGGCATATCTGTAATTTGGAATCTAAACAACCAAAGACTATACAGAATATAATGACGGCCTTGAGAGAAGGAAAAGGTAGAGAGAATAACTCATCTCCTATACGAGGCAGCCGGGTAAAAGGCAATTCTTTTGGCACACAGAAAGCTGTTGAAGTATCACCTAAACTCCCAAAACCATACTTGGTCAGCTCTAATTCCAAGATTAATGCGGAGGAGGGGCTTGCTTCCAAATCAGCTAAGGCTCATTTGATGTCTTCTCTCAAACACCAGGTATGAATGTATGATCGTGTGCCTGTCTGGTAAAATGGTTATTCTGCTTATATGAGCTGGATATTCTACCAAATACTAAACTCAATTTACTTCCCTGACTGATTCGGCTAATAATATAAAAAATAGCATGCGATTAACTTTTTTTACCTTAACATGAAAGAAAATGACATGTTTACTATTTACCCTTATTTATATTATTTTCTAATGTATTAATAAAATCGAATATTATTTTATACTATCATCCGTATCACATTAATTGCAACATTGGAATATATACACTATTCATGTACTTTACTTTGACTACTTTTTATTTATTAATGTATGTGAATTATTTTTGTTGAAAAATATTGTTAAATTCGTCTCATTACTAAGTTTTATAATCTGATTTTTATTTTATTTTTACTAATACAGAATTAAATATAATGACGGTGAAAGTTGTGCGTTAGCAAACGTGAAATGTTGACTGTTGCAACTAAAAAGAGACGGAGGAAGTATGACATAGCCATTAAATTGGCTGGTCATAGGAAAAAATAAATTTACTGGAATGAGAAAAACACACTTTTTCCCTTGTTTTCATACATTTTTTTAATTCAATCTATTTAAGGTAATTGGCATTTAAACCAAATTTTACCCTTACCGATTAGCTCTGAGATTTTCTTGTGTTTACTTAAGAATTCATTCATGAATTTATTTTGAACACATCTTTGCAGCTGCCCACCATTGAGTCCTCTCCCAAGACTAAACCTAAACACGAGGGATACTCACCACAAGGGCTTGTGAAACACACTGCTACAGAAGAGGGATTGCCTCCAAGGGTGAAACAAAGAACAACTCCTAATTTGAACAGGCGTCCTTCATTTCCTACAAAAATAAGGCAGGTAGGGCCTGATTCTCCAGTTACGGTGGATGACAACAACAACAAGGGTCAAGACAGCGTTTCTAAATTTTACAAGTCTTTGGTGGGAGTGTCAAATGAACTTCAAATAGACAGTAGCAATTCTGCTTCTTCTTCTTCTGTATCCATTCAAGGATTTGAAATTTGTGACCCGACAGCCCTGTTTGTTAAATCATCTGGGGAGTTGTGCGAACAGGTGACAGAGACAGACAGCGTCGGATCAAGACCATCTTCATGCTCAGTTTCTACCTCCATACGGTCGGATAATAATCCCAATGGCTGTATTAGGGAATTTGAAGAACAAATGGATTGTTGTATTGTAACTTGTACTCACAGGGCGAGTGGTTTCAAAGATGATGCTCCAACCAGCTGGACTACTGGTCTAAACAATGATGCTCCAACTGATGCCTCTGCTTATTTCAAAGACGACTCTTCAGCTGGGGGCCCTTGTCGCTTAAAAGACGGTGGCGGTCTGAAGGGAGGTCCTGCTGATTATTCTGATGTATTGGAGCAGCCAAATGCTGTTCTCGTGCCCAGCGGCGATGACAAGCATATAGTTACACAAGAATTTTTCTTTTCAGCAACCCAAGGTGGCACATATCCGGGTTTTGGGCCTGCTTCTCCGAATCAGCAAGTGATGCCGAAGGCTTTACTGCCAGATTCTGCAAAAGCTGCTGTGGCAGTTCATGACAAACCAAGCGCTAGTCACATCAAACCTGCCTCTGATGATGATGTTATTCATGCGATGGGGAATAGTAGCTTTCAAGTCAGTAAGGGGCAGCAGCAGCTTTTGATCAGAGCCATGGATGTTAAAATCCCGGAGAACACTATATCTCCTACTCCAATAGCAAATTCTTTTGAACAATTGAAACCAGGCCCACCCGCTGCGGAGGAAGCTCCGGTAAAGGAGATGCTGGATGTGAAGTCCTTCAGGCAGAGGGCAGAAGCACTGGAAGGGCTGTTGGAATTGTCGGCTGACCTGCTGGAGCATAACAGAATCGAAGAACTTGCGGTTGTCCTTAAGCCTTTCGGGAAAGAGAAGGTGTCCCCGAGAGAGACTGCCATCTGGTTAGCCAAGAGCTTGAAAGGAATGATGCTGGAGGAGTCTAATGCACACAACTCTTGATCCATCAGTAGTAACATCCCTCACAAAAAGGTGAGTATGTTTTTTTCAAAATATTAATAATCTGTAATTTATTCAAAAATATATAATAATCTGTAATTCTTTTATTTAGTGAAGTGTACATATTAAGAATTCAAATTGTTTTGTTTTTCCGCACTGCAAAATTGCCAATGTACGATTGTGTTTTTGGAATTGTTGACTGATGCTATTGTTTATTAGCACTCTCTCTCATTACACATATGTCCGTATGTGATATTTTTTATCCCGGATCTCCAGTCCAAGTTACCCACCCCTGTCCGAGCACACAAAATGATGTCATTTTTTACACGTATGCTTGGATATGGTTGGTTGGTTGGACACACTAACTAGGTAGGGCTGGGGCTCTTATTACATGACAAGTATGTAATTGCAGTTGGACCACAACATGTCTGAGATTGTTTCACGATGGATTCTTCCAACTGAACATGAGTTTTAATACAAACGATGTGTTTTTTTAATGTATATGTGTGTGTGCGACAGTCTTGATTATATAGACTACACTAGTTTTGAAGTTATGCAAATATTACACACATAGTATGTGCTAGTTGGCTTGACTCTTGAGCTACAAATGAATAAAATAGTAGCCAATATACAATATAACAGTAGTTGGCAACTTCAGAGAATTATAGCGTGGAACTGTGGACAGGACAGATTTGTTGATTTTGGACATTAAGATCTGATCACCGTCCCAAATTGACAGCATGCAAATGAATAATGAATCGTTTTGACAAACAACCAAATTTGTTGTTTCCCTTGTAGTGGATGGGTGCTGGCTTGTGCCCAGCTTGCAAGGTGACTAGGTGAGTGACCTTCTGGATTTGTTTGATGCCACTGGTAGCTGATGAGAAAGAGATTGATTGTCCAGCCTGGACATCTCTACGCGTACAAAATATAGAGTCCATCGGACCTTTAAAGATGAAGATGATCTAGACCATCTGATTCCATATATGACTGCTCCCATCGTCCAACAAGCATGCCTGCTGCCTTTCTTAGGTATCCAATCTGTCACCCTCTGGGCTTGTGTGGTACGTCTGATCTTTGACAGATCTTAACCGGTGGCTGTAGAGCATCTTGTACCATCCATTTTGCAACAAGGGGAAGAGGAAGAAGAAGAAGAAGAAGAATAACAAGAAAAAGTAGGAGAAGAGGGGAATAAAAAAAAGGACATGGACAAGAAGACAAGCGAGGATGAGGACGAGAGGTGTAACCACTGGGTTTAGGAGATACCAAAGAGGAAGAAGAAGAAGATACAGTAGAATATAGATGAGTAGATAAAGGACAGAGACGAGTAGAGAAAGAATGATAGATAGCAGGAGAAGGAGAAGGGGAAGCATTAAGAGTTTATTTATTTTCAACCAAAAGTTAAAAAACCAAAATACTACGTATTAAGAAAGGTGACGAAGAACAGTTGAAAAATGCATCCACAATTGAAGTTCACGCACTTCGCATGAAGGAGTGCCACAATTCAAATGCGTACGTCATAGATGATTTCAAGATAATAGTATTTTACTCCTATTTTATGAAATTTCTCTAATTAATATAGGAAAAAATGACAAGAATAATCTCACCTTTCACTGGTTTTCTCATAATAATTCCACGGTGACAAGTAGACTTGGATTCGGTTCGGGCCACCCGGCCCGTGATCCGGTCTGGCGGTCCGGGACCAGGTGGAGACCCAAATCGGGGGGGGGGGGGGGGGGTGGAGGCGGGGTGGGCTTGGGTCAGGGAAAGGGCGACCCGGCCCGGCCGGGTCGGGTCCAACAGTAGGGGTGGACTCGGGCCGGGCCAACCGGCCCGGAACCGGACCGGCCCGCCACTGTGCGGGCCCGGACCGGCCCGGGAACCGGTTCGTTGGGCGGTTCGGGCCACCCGGCCCGGTGGATTCTCGGTTCGGGCTCGGGCCCTTCAAAAGGTGAACCGGCCCGGCCGGTTCGGGCCCGGGCCGGGCCAATTTTAATTTTTTTTTTGATTTTTTTGAGTTTTTGGGTTGGGCTGGTTATTTTGGGCCATTTGAGGTGGTTAGAGTTGGTTTGGGGGTGAGGGGGAGGGGTGGGGGTTAACTAGGAAAAGCCCAAAAAAAAAAATATACCCGAGGCCCGGCCCGGCCCGGCCCGGACCCGGGGGTTACCCGGGCCGGTTCCGGGCCTCCCCTTCTTGAACCGAGGCTCGGCCGGGCCCAGGCCCGAACCGGGCCCGAACCGGCCCGAGTCCACTCCTATCCAACAGTCACTTGATAAAAAAAAGGGTTTGGGCCACAACTAGCTATTGGGGGGTGGGTTGGGGACTACTCAAACGGCTATATAGCCGTTGGGTGGGCTGGAGGGGGGGGGGGGGGGGGGGGGGTCCGGGCGGTCAAGGGGGGTGCGAGTGGGGTAAAAAAAACTATAAATACTCCCAATCTTAAACATTTTTCCATATCTCTTCTCCAAAATCCTACTCTCCACTCTCTAATTATCTTCATCTTCTCAAATTCTCTTATTCTCCAATATATTATATATCTACTTCTATTATTTATCTACTTAGAAATACATATATTATAATTTATATTACTTATATTTCTTATCTACTTATATAGTTATATATTAATTATCTATTTATAAATACATATATTATATTACTTATATTTGTTATCTACTTAATCTCTACTTATTATCTACTTATATATACTAAATACATACATATTACAATTTATATCTACTTAGTTAGAATTGTTAGAATTTTATTTCATTAAAGTTAGAATTGTTAGAATTTTATTTCATTAGTTCGAATTGTTTTTATAAATTAATATTTGTTACATTTTTAAGATGGAAGGTGGTAGATATTCGGTTGATATGGGTAACCTTGAGCGCAACTGAACGAACGAGCTTGCGAGGAAGAAATCCCGCAAAGGTAAATCACATATTGGCTCTTCATCTCAAAGCCGAGATGATTTTGATACAGGTTATGCAAGGAGGGATGGAGATGCCATGACCGACGAACAACTTGAACAAGAATTGCACCGACATAATAGTCGGTTTTTCCAAGACCGGCCGAGGACCATTGACGAAGAATAGCTCGAGGACGATGATGTGGAGGAAGTAATTCCGGAGAGCCACGACGGTGACGCGGAGGAGGGTGGCGGCAGCCACGACGCCGACGAGCCTGCCTCATCCCAAACAGGTACGAAAAAAGTAGATCTGAACTAATGCAAAATAATTTTGATAAGTGGAAGGACCCGAACACCGGAAATTGGAACGCAACTTACAAGTGGTGCAAGAAAAATTATAGATTGGGGATATCCGACGGATACGGATCCGCCACAAGGCATCTTAAGGCCAAACACCCGGTGGAGTATGCAAAATTAGGCGGCGGAACGATGAAGCAAACTCAAATATCGAGATTTGCAAATAACCAACAACCTTTTGGTAATTTCTCATACAATGATGCACAAAATTTGACAGGTATGACTAACTTACTTGTTGAAGAAAATTTGCCTTATTTGTTTTCTGAAAGTCTTGCTTTTTGTGATTATGCACAAACTTGTTTAAATTCTCAATATAGAGGTTATAGTTCGGCCGGCAATGTCCTAACGCAATGTAGAATGAGATTGAGTGCAGAATCTCTTGAGATGCTTATATGCTACCACGATTGGTTGAAGGCGGCCCGTAGAGCTTAAGAAATTGACATTACACCATCCCAACACTTTATGAATGAATCTACAACTGAGGGTGGCTCTACCTATTACGGAGATTCCAATTGATTAGTATTTCATGTTTTAATTTTACCTTCAATTCTCAAATGTAATTTCATATTGTATTTTTTTCTTAATTGTCAAATGTAGTTCCTATTTCAGTTCAAATAAATGCACTTAAAGTTTGTTTTTAAAACTATAAAGTATAAAAAATTGATTTAACCGGCCCGGCCCGGCGGGTGGCCCGAACCGTGACCCGGATGGGTGGCCCGGCCCGAACCGGAACCGCCTTTACCTCGTGCTGGTCTCAGGCCCACCTTTCACAAACCGGCGGCCCGACCGGGTCCAACCCGGCCCGAATCCATGCCTAGTGACAAGATCTTTAATAAGAAGAGAATGATTAAGAAGAAAAACATAAAAAGGGAAATGAAATACAAATACGGAAAGAAAAAGAAACCGACAAAAAAAACTATTTTGAAGAGAAATTTTACAAAAAAAAAATCTCCCAATAGAGTGAGAAATAAAATAATAAAAATTGAAAAGAAATAAGAACAAAATGATAGAAAAAGATAAAAAAATGTCTAGGGGTGAAAATAAAGAACGAAAAATTTTAGGGAGAAAAAAGAAAAAATGAAACATGAGACCGTTTCGAGCAGATTTGTGAAAGGTGAGATTATTTATATAAGGTTTTCAAAGAAAGGGTAAAAACCCGATATAACAGGTCATGGTCCAACGAAAGAAGATGGAGTGCAAAAGTAAGATTATTCTGGGATTATGTAAAGCGGTAAAGGTAAGATAATTTTGAGAAGACCAATGAAAGGTGAGATTATTCTTGTCAATTTTTCCATTAATATACTAGTACATTACATGTGCGATGCAAAATTGGTGAAATTTCATGGGTGTATTTAATTTTAGACACTTAAAATAAAAAAATCTTGTAATTTTAATTAAATTGTTTAGAATTATACACTATACAATAATAAAATCTGACGTAAAATGAAATATATTAGGTACGATTTATCAATTATTACGAAATACTCCGTAGTACACAATTTTTATAGCCTCACAAAATAATAAGCAGCACGCACTATAATTATAATTTGAAAACAAATTATGTTCCATGCTAAATGTTACTCCCCCCGTCCCCCTAATATTGGGACAAAAGGAAGTAGTGTGGTTTTTAAGAAAAGTAGAATTATGTGGTTGATAATGAGTTGATAAAGTGAGAATAAAGTGAGAATAAAGTGAGAATGAATTAGAGTCACACAAATGTTACCAAATATGGTATGAGACAATAATAGGGGGATATCCAAAAATGGTAAAATGAGACAATTATAGGGGAACAGAATGAGTACTACATATGAAACACTTCTTTATACACAAGTACACAACATTCTCAGTTTCAATATTTATTCTTCTATCATCATTTGCAATGTAATTTTGTATTGCTCGGTGATTGGTTACTCTTGACACAACTACGTAAAGTTGAACAACTCGCGACAACGACTGTTTTTGACT